ACGAGGAAGAAATAAGCAAATTAAGCCTTTTGTGACAAAAAAGTTTCCTCAATAATCACCAAGAATTTTTCCACCAACTCGAAAAGGACCAAAAAAACTTAAATTCGGCAGTTATTGGGAATTTGGCCTCCCGGTTAGCTCCCTTTCCTCAACTACGAAAAATTACCCTCCATTGGCAACGAAAACTGACCCGGGAAGGAGGATGAGTGGTAGTCGGTCGTGATATAACCTCGGAAGTTTTGCCCCATGCCGAAATAAAAATATTCTTGACTGCTAGTTTGGAATCGAGAGCACAAAGAAAATACCACGAATGCAAAGGTAAAGTTAGTTTGGAAGAATTAAAGCGGGAATTATCAGAACGCGATGAGCGAGATAAAAATCGCTCTCTTTCTCCGCTAAAAAAAACGGCGGACAGTTACGAAATAGACACTACCGATTTATCCTTAGCCGAAGTTATAGAAAAAATAAATTCACTACTTGACCCGCCCCTACCCATTACTTTTTGTTTTAAATAAATATTGTTGGTTTATGGAAAATAACTCTTGGGAAAAAATTAAAAAAAAAGCCGCTGAACTTTTAGAGAAAGAATTAGAAATTTTCGTGGGTAAATTAGAAAGAATTCGGAGTAATCAAATTTCTCTGGAAACGATTAGAGGGTTAACTATTATTTATCAAGGCGAGAGAAAGCCGCTAAAAACAATATCTAGTCTGCGCATTTCCCCCAGCAATGAATTAGTTATTCGTGCTTTTGAGCCTCAACTAACTTCCCTAATTACCGAGCCAGTTAGAAAAATGGGTTACAAGTTAGAAGGAATTACCAAAAATGAGGCTTATTTTACTTTATTATCCAGTGGGGAATCCCGAGAAAAACTTACTCGGGATGTCAAAAGCATAACTGAGGAAGGGAAGGTGGCTTTTCGTCAAGTTCGCCAAGCCTTTCGGGAAAAGATAGGGGTCTTAGCCCAAGGGAAAAGTGATAAGAGAGGAGAACTGAGAATTTCTGCTGACCAAAAACGGAAATACGAAATTGAAATGGAAAAACTAGTCAAAGATTATCAGGAGAAATTAATCCGAGCCGAGGAAAAAAAAATTCGAGAATTAGGGAAAATCTAGGTAACCAAAATAGGTTCTCAACTTCTTGGACAACCTTATTACAAAGCAATTAAGAAAAATAAACTGTCGAACGCACGATAACTCCTAAGATTGAACGAAGATTACAAAATTAGCATATGTCAAGATATCGCTTTTGCTTCTACCTCATTCATGATTTTTTAGGCTCACCATGATTATTTTTTTCTTGTTATAATATTATAAAATTTTT